GGGGGGTGTGGAAGTAGGTGAGCAGGTGCATGGGAGTCCTCGGCCCCGCAGCTCCTGGGTGGCATGGTGCCGGGGCAGCAGGTCACCTCTCTGGTGTGGGGGTCACCTCTCTAGTGTGGGGTCACTTCTCTGGGCCGGGTCCCCGCAGGAGGACATGGCCAGCCCGCTGGCGCTGCTGGAGGAGCTGAGCTCTGGGGACTGCGGCCGCGACCTGGCCACGCGGCTGGTGAAGCTCTTCCTGGGCCGCGGCCTGGCCGGCAACTTCCTGGACTACGTCACGCGCCGGGAGCTGGCCCGCACGGGTGAGCGGCTGGCGGCCCGCACGGGCGGCCGCGGGTGGGGAGGACGCCGGGCTGAGGAGGGGCTCCCCACGCCTGGTGCCCCCAGTGGCTGAGCACGGTCTCTGGGCCCTTCAGCTCCCTCTGAGCTGTGTATGCGGGTGGGGTGCTTGGCTCTGTCCTGCGTGTGGAGTTGGGGTCTCTGTGATCCCCGAGGCTGGAAGAACCCCCCACCCCAGGTGACCAGGCTGAGCTGGGTGCGGCGCCTCTCGCACCCCAGCAAATACACCCCCTGTCTTCCCAGCCGACCCCAACGTCCTCTTCCGTTCCAACTCCCTGGCCTCCAAATCCATGGAGCAGTTCATGAAGGTGAGAGGAGAGTGGGCGCCGCCCCCATGGCTGCACCCCCTGCCTGGCTGGGGCCGTACCCCAGCCTCTCCTGTGCCCCTGCCCTCAGCCCCCCCCCGTGACCCCACCCTCAGCTCGTGGGCATGCACTACCTGCACGAGGTGCTGCGCCCCATCATCAGCCGGGTCTTCGAGGAGAAGAAGTACATGGAGCTGGACCCCTGTAAGATGGACCTGAGCCGAGCCAGGTGAGCTGAGCCACCCGGGGGCCTCCTGGGGCCCGAGCCGGGCAGCACGGCACCCTGCAGGGACAGCCAGGCTTCTGAGAGCCAGGCAGGCACCGGCCAGATACAAAGGACACAGCAGAAAACCAAGGAAGGGAGGCAGATTGTCCACAAGCAGAAGAGAAGCTTCTTGACTATGATCAGTGCTGTGGAGTGGCCCAAGATGGGAGGGGGGACGGGTGACAGGCAGGGCGCCTTTGTGCAAAGACTCGAAGGTGGCAAGGGACAGAGTCTTGTTGAGATTTGGTGACAGAGAAACGGCAAGTGCAAAGGCCCTGAGGTTGAACCACGCGTGTCACACGCACGCTCTGGAGGCAGGGAAGCAGGGCCTGTGGTGAGGACGGACAGGGAGGGAGGGCCACTCTGAAGAGAGGACATTTAAGCTGACAGGTGTGGGCGTGGCCAAAGGCCGTGACATGGGTGTGCCCGGTGGCGTGGAGGGAGCGTGGCCTGAAGGGAGCCGGCAGGGGGTCCTGGCCGAGTGGGCCGGAGACCAGGCTGCGCTGCTCTGCGCAGGAGGATCTCCTTCAAGGGCGTGCCCTCCGAGGAGCAGGTGCGCGAGACCAGCCTGGGGCTGCTGACCGGCTACCTGGGGCCCATCGTGGACGCCATTGTGGGCTCGGTGGGGCGCTGCCCGCTGGCCCTGCGCCTGGCCTTCAAGCAGCTGCGGCGGCGCGTGGAGGAGCGCTTCCCGGGGGCGGGGCACGAGGTAGGCGTGGAGGGCGGGGCCCGGGGCAGAGTACAGGGCGGGGCCCGGGGAGGGGGACAAGGTAGGCGTGGTGGGCGGGGCCCGGGGCAGAGTGGAGGGCGGGGCCCTGGGCAGGCC